TACATTGAATTCATTCTACTTTTCTCTTCTGATTTTTAAATTAAAAAACTAAGGTATAATTTATATGCAGTAAAATCCACCCTTCTGAGTGTACAGTTGTAAGAGTTTAGACAAATATACACAGTTGTGTCATCTCCACCGTGACTGAGATAGAGAACACTTTCATGCTGCCCTCCCTGGATTATTTGGGACTATTTCAAATTGTTCTCAGAATATACCCAGGTGTGGAATTGCTGGCTTATAGTGTGTACGTTTAGTTTTAGTATCTGCCACATAGTTCTCCAGGGTGGCTATACCAACTTACTTCCCATCAGCAGTGTCCAAGGATTCTGTAGCTCCATATTCTCATCAAAATTAGTAAATCTTTAAAAGTTCTAACACTGATTTCAGAGAGAGAAAGAGAGAGGAAGGGAGAGAAAGAGAGAGAAAAACATTGATTTGCTGTTCCACTTATCTATGCATTCACCGGTTGATTCTTGTATATGTCCTGACTGGGGATCAAACCCACAATCTTGGTGTATCAGGATGATGCTCCAACCAACCAAGTCACCCGGCTGGGCTGGTAAATTTTAATCTCTCTCTCTTAACTGAAAATTTAATCATTACGTATAGCTAACAGCTTTGTTGTCAAGGCTGAACCTACATACCATGACATGGCAGTGCAGGGGTTGGAGCATCACAGACCCAGCCTGTTTTCTGACTTTCCTGTACTGAAATATTAGTCGTAGTCTTGATTTTTCCCCATCAGATTCTTTAAAAGTTAAAGTGACTCTGGAGTTAATTGGCTGTATGTCACTGGCTTGTATCCATCCACTGACGACAGCTCATGACCATCTAGAAAACGTATGATTTCTAAAAAGTCTTTATCCCTGGAACTGAACACACAGGCGCCGTACTTTCCAGAGGCAATAAACTGTTGGTGCAGAAGGGTGTTTAGACAAGGAGGTCCATGGCCATGTGGGATCTGGAAACAATCAGGAGAGGGAAGTTGTGTAATGATGGAGAAGTGGCTGTTTTGCAGCCATGAAAGTCAGTCTTGAGAAAATGTTGGTCGATGTGAAATTATTCGCAGCCTATTGTTTAAAGGAGACAGCTGGTTATGGGACAGAGAGTAAGAAGCAGTCTCACCCAGCCCCCACAGGAGTTTGTGTGGGTATCAGGCAGTGCTGCTGGGGTTGCCTCTGCCCCACCCAGCCCACACGGCATGCACACCCCTAGGAGGGGGTGATGACAGCAGCTGCCAGGCTCTGAGTCAGCAGGGCCTGGGGCAGCGGGAGGGGAAGGGGCCTCACGTGGCTGGGCCTGAGCTGCCTCGTGGGGCCTCCTGGCCCTCAGCCCTGCAGGAAACAAGGCCCTTTGAAAGGGCGAATCACACACGGACTAGTCCTCTTGGGGCCCAGCCAAGACTGCTTCCACGGGTTCTGGGGCTCCTTGAGGGGAGCGTTGGGGGAGGGAGCTTCCTGGGTTGGGAGCACACATGGAAAATCCCCTGGGTGATGAGTATAGGAGAAAAACTCAGCTGCTGTATGTAGGAGGCAGGTCGCCTACTGCGCAAGTCCCAGTAATAGGAGGCTGTGAATAGGGGTTTGGGTGGCGACAGAGAAGGAAGCCATCGGGGTGGCCCATGGGAAGCAGCCTACCCAGGCAATGTCATCTCAGAGCTGGCTCAGGGAGTCTCAGGGAAATGAAGGAGAAGGTTTGCCTGGCTTTGGTCCCCTTTATTCTAGGGCAACCATATTCACTCAGCTGATCAGTCTCAGCTGGCCTACGTTCTCAAAAAAGCAGATTCCCTCTCCCTTCTAATTTCCTGCTCTAATCTTCAAGAAATGGCTAGATATCTAGGCAATCAAAAAAAAGAAAGAAAGAAAGAAAGAAAGAAAGAAAGAAAGAAAGAAAGAAAGAAAGAAAGAAAGAAAAGGAAAATAATACACTGCCTGAGGCTGGCAGATTCCACCTAATTGCTCTCCCCAAGTTCAAAAGTAGGTGGTAGCTTATTGGTGTAGCCTGAAGTCTTCAGATTGGTAAGGGTTTCCAGCTGTCAAAAAACAATAGGGCTACCCTGGGGGAAGGAGCCCCCTGTCTGTGGAGGTGTATAAGCAGGACCTAGGGATTGGTTCTGATGTCTGGGAAAAGCAGCAGATCTTCCTAAGCCAGGCTGCTCCTCAGTGTTTCAGGACCCTGCTGTGCTTGGGTAGGCAGGGAATGGAACCTGCTTTCCAACTGAGTCACCAAGAGCTGCCTGGTGGTGGGCACCAAGGGGGATCAGACGAGGCAAGCACCAGGCTGCCTGCCACTGTGGCACAGGCATTACCCTGACCTGGGTAGAGAGCAAAGGAGGGTTGGGGAAGTGGGGAAGGGGCCAATGTGAGGGTCTGTAGGCAACCTGCCCAACTGAGAAGACCACTGAGAAGAGCAGGGCTGGGGAGTGAGGCTGTGGCCCCCTCTGCCCAGAGCCAGAGGGAGGCGATGGGAAAGGACAGGAAGGTGTACCCTCCCACACTGTCCCATCTAGGCAGGTGGGCCAGGCCTCAAATCCAGCCATCTACGGTGTCTTCTTCCTTCAAGCTCCCTTAATTTTTCTTTTCTTCCTTCTCTTGTCTTTCTGTCTGCCTGTCTCTCTCTCTCTCTCTCTCTCTCTCACCCCCCCCCCCCCACCAATCCATATCCCACAAACTCACATCTGTACATATTGTGGGCCTGGACCCACCACAGTCTCTAGGGTAACCACTATAAAAGCCTCGCACACATGAACATGCATACACATTGCCCCCCACATGCTCAGACTGTTCCACTTTGTCTTCAGGGCAGGTCTTATAACCCCAGGAAGCACCGGAAAGTTCAGCTCGCCCATCCCCCGCCTCTAAGCTGCCACCAGATCAGAAGGCTCCATCAGCTTTCCAGCTCTGTTTTCCTGTTCTGCCTCTGGATGGATAGTTGTCAACATTTATTGATTCACTAAGTGCCTGCTAAATGCCAGGCTCTACCCTGCCCACTTCACACACTGCCTCAATTAGGAAGGAGTTAGGCTGCACGTAACAGAAACCCCACATAGCAGTTTAACAAAATTAAAGTATGTGTTCCTCACTGAGCAAGAAGGCTCTGTGGTGTCTCAGGGACCCAGGCTCTTTCCTGCCTCACTGCCCTCAGCACATGGCTTTTGTTCCCAGGGGCATAAGCTGGCTGAGGGCTGGAAAAAGCCAGGAATGGCACCTGAGTCTGCCCCACTTAACTGGACACCACCTCATCTGAGTCCTCCACTGCTTTCAGCGTAGTGGTTCAACCCAGCTTCTCATTGCTCTTTCCTCAATACACCTCACACATGCCGGTCCCCCATTGGCCTGGGCCTTGGACTGGACTCACTGCCTGAGAAGTACACAGAGGCCAGAATTCTGTGTTCCAGATGCCAAATGGCCCCAGCAACCAGAGCCTTCAGCCAGCTCACTGCTGTAATCAGCTGGCAGACATGAGTCCTGGTTGACAGTGATAGGGACCAGGGACCAGGAACTGAGCCAACATTACCTCCAGCATCACCTTATGGTTGAGGCCCCACACTTTCTGGGCCCACCCCTCCACCTGCAAATATATTTGTGTGTTGTACCCATGGTCAAAATGCCCACATGCCCTGGCCAGCCCCTGGCCACCTCCTCTAGCCACCCTTCAGTGAGCCCTCTGCCCAGGTCCTGTTGGCAGAAGGGCCCAAAGTGCATGCCCTTGGAGTGTCCTGGCACCAGATCCCTGCCCTGTGCTTCATTTTTTTCAGTCACCAAGGAGTGTGTTTGCGTTGGCTCCAGGCCTTCCTTGGGATGGCCCTGGGGAATGAAGCTGGGTGCCATAGCTAGACTGAACCCAGTCAGAGACACCACTACTACAGGCAGATCTTCGTTGCAAAGGGGACACCTGAAGGTTAACGGGCAGTTTGGACAGGAAGGCTTCCCCTAAGTTTTTGTCTAAGCACACTTTGAAGGGCAAAAAGGGGAGCAAAGGCTGAGAGAACAGACAGTGTGGGCCTTCTGAGAAACAACACTGGGACATTATCTGGGGAGGCTCCTGCAGTTCACAAGCCAAGAGGTAAAGGAGTGTGTATGTGTGTGGGCGAGGGGGACACCCGCCCAGGGCAGGCACTGAGTCCCAGGACAGACCTTCCGCGGCCCCTAACGCCTCTGAGCCAAGCCTCCAGTTGGGGCTTTTACCCCACAGCAGGGCTCTGGAAGCTGGCAGCTGGTTGTGTACCTTTCAGGTTTGATATATAAGCCTCTTCACTATGCCTTTGATGACAAGGAGGTAGCTTGTTAGAGGTGGGAGTTAAAGGAAAAATTGGTCAGCCTACTAAATCCTATAGGCTTCACTGGGGCCCAACGAAGTGACTGACTTGCCAGGGACACACAGCTAGTGACAGGGTTGGGACCAGAGTTTGATATGCTCTACTCCAAATGGAGCCTTACTATTAAACCACTGCAGAAACCCACAACCCAGAATCCCCCCTTCCAAAACCGCGTAAATGTGCATATTTCCCCCAAAAGTCAAAATTTCCGGAAATGTGCATTTCATCAGACGCCCGAATGAATCCCACGCGTGTTTGTCAGTTTGAGAAGTCCGCCCTGCACATTCAGTCCCGCGAATAGCACAACGCAGAAAGGGACGGCGGGAGTCTGAACCCCACCCTCGGTCGACAACGCGGCCGCCCGGCTTCTTCCTAAAGGTCCACGGGACGAGTCGCTGCGCCCCCTCGCGGTCGCTGGTCGCTGGGGCTGGTCTGGTCCAGGGCTTCCAACGGGAACCTTGTGTACCAGGTACACGAGGGACCGGTACGGGCAAAGCCCGAACATCGGAGCAAGGGGTCTTTCGTCGGATTAGGAAGGTCACCGCCGCCCGGTGTCCAGAAGCCGGAACGCCCGTAACGCCCCCTCCTGGCGCACCGAGCACTGCACAGGCCGTGAGGACCCCGCCCACCCAGCGCGCGTCACCCTCGTGCATGCGCCCACGACCCGTGTGCGCAGGCTCGTAGGGGCCACGCAGCCACCATTGCTTCCCCAGCTGCTGAGCGAAGCTGTGTTAGTAGAAGTCTGCGGGAGCAGAGAAGGGTGAGTGCGACGCCTCGAGGACAGCGGCCCGAGGCTAAAGGAGCAGTATAGTATACTCCGAGCGGGATGCCCCGCTTAGGCCTAACCGACTGGAGCAAGGAACTACACCCCCCAAAATGCACTGCGCTTCAGGGTTGCGCGGGACAGTGACGTACAGGGTCTTTGCTGCTACCATTTTTGGGGGGAAGGGGGGCTGGTGTATGCGATGGCGAATGCCGATGACGCGCTCTTCTTGTGGCTAGAGGGTCACTGTAGGTCAGCGGGCTCTGGTTCTGAAAGCGCCTTCGCCAGCCTTCCTCTTTGACCAATTTAAACCGACGATCTGCTTATCCTTAACTACAGATATCTGCATACTGTGTTTCCGCTGCCCTTGAACCCTGCGTGGGTACTGAGCCCGCCGGACATCATCATCATCATCATCATTTAGTTTTTATTGTGAAATAATCTCATACTTATAGAAAATATGAAGAATTTTTAAAATAACTATCTCATTTCCCTTGATAACTTAGCTGCAGATGTGATGCCACTTTACCTCTACGTTTAGAGGTATATCAGTGTGTATTTTTTGAAAAGATGACCATTACCCAACGTTCAAAATTAGGAAGTGATGATCAAAACTATTATCTAACTTCTAGTCCACGTTTAAATTCTTCCAGGTGTCCTAATAATGCCCTTTATTGAAACTACCTTTTTCTTGGCCTGGGATCCCATCCAGGAACATATGTTGCCTTCAGCCGTCCGTGTCTCCTTAGTCTCCTTACGTGTGGAGCAGTTCCCAAGCTTACCTGGGCTCTGATGACTTTGACACTTTTGAAGATTGCTGGCCAGTTCCTTTTGGAACTGAATTTGGGGTTGTCAGATTTCTTCACCACCAGACTGTTATGGGCAGAGGTGGTGCTGACCAGACTGTTATTCAGAGGCCGGGCGTGTGTGTGTTAGGTGGCTGAGGAGCGCCAGTGGCCAGGCACAGCAGCCTCCAAACACTTCCAGACCTTGCTAGGCCAGACAGACCCCCTCTGTGGCTGCCTCCCCTGTTGGGTAGTTATCTCACTGAGGTATCTGGCTTCCCCATAGCACCCACCCTGGAGCCATGGTCCACGCCTTCCTCATCCACACCTTGAGGGGCCCGCAGGCTGAAGACACGGGCTTTTGCCGAGTACTCTACTCCTGTGTCTTCGGTGCCGAAAATTCACCTGATGACCCACGACCACACAGTGCTGAGAGGGACAGGCTCCTCCGCAAGGAGCAGATTTTGGCCGTCGCCAGGTAACTGCACCACCCAGCCAGCCCCACACCTTCATTGAACGCACGCCCAATTGTGATAGGATTTCTGGGGGCCATAGAGAAACAGGAGGAATAAGAATTAGAGAGGAAGTTTTAAAGTAGCATTTTCCAAAGAGTTTTTCACAGTTGTCACAAATGTTATATGAAAAAGGGTTAAAGAAAATAATAATATTACTGCTTTAGTTAGCATTTATGTTCTGAGCATTTCATGTATATGAACTAATTTAATCCTTGTACCAGTCTTTTGCAGTAGGTACAGTTATTATCTCCACCTTACAGATGAATAAAGTGAGGTATAGAGAGTTTAAGGAACTTTACTGATACAAGGTTATATGGCTAGAAAGCAATAGAGCTGGGATTTGACCGTAGGCAGGCAAACACCAGTACAGATTAGACATGCTTTGCAGTGTAGGGCTTCTCAGGGCCTTTCGTGTGCCTGTAGGCTTTATGCATCTCTAAGTAAGAGAGAGAATTTGGGACTTTGGACCTTTTTATGTCCCGAGCCTTCCAAAAGCCTGAGATCCACAGACTACAGTTTGGGAAACACTGTTCCAGAAGGGGTGGCTGGCCTTGGACCTTCCCATCCCAGACAGAGTCAGGAGGTGCCAGAATCATCTGCTCCCTGTGCATTCTAGATGGGAGATTAACACTCTGAGACAGCCCTGTGCCAGACTCCTGCCATCCACTTGTTTCTCTGGGCCTCTGCACACTCCTGTGGCACAGAAAACCAAACAGATCCCTTTAAGAACATCTTGTGCATGGCCCAACTTGGAGGACAGTTCAGGAAGGTTCGGGGAGTGCTTTCAAAAGCCTGAAAGGCCAAGTAAAAGGTCTTTCTTTTTTATTTGGAGAGAGTTGCAGGATGGGATGAGGGTGGAGAGTTTGGACGGCCCACGTTGGATGTAGCTTTTACACCACTTCTCATCAGTTGCTTTTCTTCAGGTTGAGAAGGCCTCTGTGAAGCAGGTGGGTCAGGATCTTCTTCCCTGGGTGCCCTTTTGCAGCCCAAGGAGCTGTGTTCAAAATCTTCCTTCTCTTGGCCACACTGAGATGATTCAGGGCCTGGAGGCTGGAGCCTGGGTTTCTGTCCCAGCTTACACTTCCTTCTCTGTGGCCCCCGGCAGGTCATTGAATCTTTCTGGGACTCAGTTTTTATATCTAACATACGGCAATAATGGCATCTCCCAGTGCCAGGGGTGGTCATGAGGATGACAGAAGTTGGTGACCCACCCACTCTCCCCAGGCAGGTGGAGTCCATGTGCCGGCTACAGCAGCAGGCATCTGGCAGGCCCCCCACGGACCTGCAGCCCCCGTCCTCAGATGAGCCAGTGCCCCTGCACGAGGCCCCACGAGGGGCCTTCCGCCTGGCGGCAGGGGACCCTTTCCAGGAGCCTCGGACGGTGGTGTGGCTGGGTGTGCTCTCACTGGGCTTTGCGCTAGTGCTGGATGCCCATGAGAACCTGCTGCTGGCCGAGGGCACGCTCCGGCTGCTGGCACGCCTCCTCTTCGACCATCTCCGGCTGCTGGTCCCTGGCTCCAATTTCCTGCTGCGGGCTGACCGAATTGAGGGGATCCTGGCCCACTTCCTGCCCCATGGTCAGCTGCTCTTCCTCAACGACCAGTTTGTCCAGGGTCTGGAGAAGGAATTCAGTGCTGCTTGTCCCCGCTGACTCCTCACCGAATGGGACTTTCCAAGAGGACAAAACAGAAGGACAAAGATGTTTAGACACACAGCTGGTAAAACTAGGTACCCACCTTCTACCCAGCCTGCTCCCAGCTCTGGTGGGCTGCCATACCCAGGACAAGTGGATAGGACAAGGTGGCAGGGCAGAAAGTGGGAGGAATCACGGAACATTCTGTGCCTGGAGCTGCCGCACGACTTGTTCAGGCTGCTGCAGTGGGCCAGCCCTGCTTGTTCTGAGCCCCACTTTCTCCCATTCCCACCAGCCAGCCCGTACAGTCCACGAGCCCCTAGTGCTAGGGCAGTGAGGAGTGGCTGCCTGGAACTTGGCCCACCTTTTTTCTCCAAACCCACAGCCATCACAGCGCAAAAGGAGTCTGAGACTCAGCTCCACCACAGTTCACAAATATGTCAGTCATTCCGAAGGATTTTGTAGGTCTTTTGGGGCCAGCCCATGCCCAGCAGACGGCCTCAAGATAATCATGGGCTTCCCTTGTCTGAAGGGAGAGGTGCCATCAGGGGGGTACAAGAGGTTTGGCCTGGATGATGTTATCTTTCTGATTTTGAATTAAAAGCACCCACTATGTGATGTTGTCACTGACCCCTGTGGATCAGGGACCCAAAATCATCATTCTGCTCAGTGTTGCTTGGCACCAATGGGACAAAACTACTTGGTTAAGTAAATCATAAAGTTTATTTTTTTGGCCAAGGAATTGAAAAAGACAAGTTGTGCTCAAAAGATCCGCTTCCCCTCGATTCTTTGGAATGTGGCAAGTCTTAAAGGGCTTGGGGGGAGTTAGGCAGGCTCAGGGGCAGAGATTCCCAAGGAAGGGTGGGAGGTTTTCAGATTTCCAAGGGAGCATGCGCAGTTCCAAGCATACTTGAACATGCCTAACCATACATTGCACGTCTCATTTTATTTTAAAAACTATTTACTTATTTTTAGAGAGAGGGGAAGGGAGAGAGAAAAAGAGGGAGAGAAACATTGATCATCCTCCTCCCACATGTGCCCAGACAGGACCGAACCCTCAATTCAGGCATGTGCCCCAACCGAGAATCGAACCAGTGACTTTTCGCTTTGTACAACACCACCCAACCACTGAGCCACACCAGTCAGGACGTGTGTCTCATTTTAGATTTGATTGATTGATTTTTGAGAGAGAGAAGTGGAGGGAGAAAGAGGGAGAGAAACATCAATCGGTTGCCTCTTGCACGCCCCCAAATGGGGACCTGAACCACAACCCAGGCATGTGCCCTGACCAGGAATCTAACTTGTGACCTTTCAGTTTGTAGGCTGGTGCTCGACCCACTGAGCAACACCAGCCAGGGCAGCATGTTTCATTTTAATGTTAAGTCTCCATCCCCGGGCATGATTTTTAGTATGCTATTGAAGGAAAGTTTGTCAAAAGTTACTTGGGAAGTGGTTTTAGATACCATCTTGAGTCTTTCTGGTACAAACCAGTTTCTTAGTTGTGGTTCTTGGGTTCCCTATCTGGTTCCTGGCTGTAGGCTCAGCTGGCCTTCTTGGAACTTCTGTTTTCTCTTGATGCGTTCAGCCTGCTTGTGTGAGAGGATACGTTGGGGAGAATACAAGAAAGTTAATGGAAGTTTAAAAATTAATAATGTGGCACAACTCAATGGCAATTTCACCCTCCATTTTGGTGAATTTGATTAATGCATATCTGCTACTGTGAGTAAGTGCTTCTCTGAATGGCACTGAACCAGGTGGGTGTTTGAGCCGTCATGGTCAAGGATGCCCCTAAGAGGCTTCTCAGGAGGTCTCTACCTCTTGTCTGCCACATCACCTCTGTTTCCTTATGTGCCTTCTTTGGATGGTAGCACTTGATTCCTTTACCAAATGTGGTGGTTTGGTCAATCCCTGAGAAACAGAGCCTGAGATAAGGGTTAGGTGTCTGTGGGAAGTGATCCCAGGAAGCACTGTAAGGGGAGGCAGCCCATACAAGTGCATTATCAAGGGTGGGTAGGGAGCTTAGTGCCTCTGGGGACCTGTGCACACAGTTACCTCTGAAAGACCTCAGCTCAGGGGTAAAGGGTTGTTGGTGTTTGTCAGCCACTCCCTTCAGTCAGTGGTCATGGAGCTGGTCCCAGGGGAAATTCCCTGGGTCTTTCTGCCCCCAGAAAAAGCTCTCAGGCTGTTTGGAGCTGGGCCTGTGAAGCAGCACGGGGCTCTGGATCTGAGGGTCCCTGTTCATGTGCTAGCTGAGGCAAGAATGCGGACTCTGTCCCACAGAGTATGCTCCGGGTCGTCACAGATGGGGAAATGAAATAAGTCGTCCCAGACACTTTTCTCGGCCTTCAAGGGAAAGGGGTGGCACTTTCCTCTAGTAGAGAAGGCCCCAAGCACTTCTTTTGAAGTGGCTTTTATTGAGAACCATAAAGGCAGGGGTATACTGCATGGTTTCAAAGCTCATCAATGTCAAAAGGCTACAGTTTACAGAAAACAAATAGAGATCATAGATAACAATTGAAGGAACACAAGAGATTTGCCTTAAGTCAGGGTGGCACCCATTCAGCCCCGAAACCTGGGAAATTGATCACATTCTGTGCTCAACTCCAAACATCAGTATTCATTAACTGGAGGGCGTTCTTAGCAAAGTAAGTTTCATAGGATCTACTAATGCATTTGTTTTCCAGGCCTAATTCTCCCCAGGAACCACCTGATCCAGTTTAGGGCTGGACCTGCCTCTAGCATTGTTTCAAGCCTGAGCCAGGCAGGTAGGACAGAGCTGCCGAGATATAAGGAGACTTCTTTCAGATAGAATGAGGACTCCGGCCAAATCAAAGCCAAGGGGTGAGGGTCTTTTTCCCCTTCTCCATGTCCCCTAAGTCCTTCCCTGATGACCCCTATGTGACTGCCTGTCTTAGGTTGCCCCTGCCATCGAGGGGCCTTACCCGTCATTGACTAACCAACCATCTTCCGGGGCCAAGCAGGGTGATGCGAGGGAGGCAGGGGCTGCACCCCTGCCAGGGGGACAGGTTTTGTCTCCTCAGTGGCCTATTTTCCCAAGGCCTCCTTGCTCAGCTCCAGCCTTGGGGCCCTCTTGCCTGTCAGTGAAGCTACAGTCCCTGAAACCAGGCAGACGGTTCCCAACAGGCCCAGCAATGGTCAGACCCAAAGGTCTGGGTGGGGTGCTAAACTGCTGTTAGAGAGTCTTTAATCAGCAGTGCTTAGTGGTGGTTTAATATGATTCCATTGGAAGAGAACCTTAGTGTACATCTATTTTCATGATCTGCCTGTTACCTGTGAAGTGTGGCTTTCTTAGCCTCTTCCTGTGTTGTCAGGGTGGAGCAGGTGTCAGCTCCATCTCACTCCTGCCAAGCATCAGTTGCTCTTTGGCATCCAGGAAGGACCCACCCACACCTACTTAGGAGGCAGCACTTGTGATTGGGGTTTTGCCCTTCTAAGTGTGCAGCCAAGGCCGCCAGCCATGCTGTGCCTTTCAACACTGTCACCGTTGGGATGGGTCTACCTTCTCCACAAATCACTCTCTGACCTTGAAGACCTAAAGAGGCATCAGGATGTGTGTGTGGCAAAGCACACCGCTGGGAATGCCCCACAGGTTCCCTGTGGGACACCCCTACCATGTACAGTCTGCTCTCCTGGACCCGTCCCTCATTCCATGCTGGTGGTCCTGGCGGAGTAGCCATGCTGTTATAGGAACAGGCCCCTGTGGCCTCTATTGAAGGGCCTGAGCTTGGCTGATCTGAAAACTTTCTGCCTATTTTTCAAGTTGAACTGGAGGGAGTGAGACCAGCTCCCCAGGAAGCTGTAAGAAGCTGGGGTTAAGCAGGCTGGTGACCCTTGTTCCCGCGAAGTGGAGGAAACTGATTTGTAGGTAATGGCAGAGACTGGAACCCTGCCCTGGGGCCACGGAGGCCCTGGTTTCAATTGTTCCAGATACCCAGTTAGTATTTGCATTTCCTCACCCTCACAGCTTGCCTAGCACCCTTTCTGTACATTTCCAGTGTTGTCCCAGCACCTCTGAGCCAGGTTACCACCACAACTATTATTTTTTTAAATCCTCACCTAAGGATGTATTTATTGATTTTAAAGGGAGAGGGGAGAGAAACATCAGTGTGAGAGAGAAACATCAATCAGTTGCCTCCTGCATGCACACCAACCAGGGACTGAACCCACATCCTAGGTATGTGTCCTGACCGGGGATCAAACCTGCAAACTTCTGCTGTATGGGGCGACACTCCAACCAACTGAGCCACCTGGCTGGGGCTCCACCACAGCTTCTTATGCTTACTTCACCTTCATCGAGCCTGCCGCTCCCTCCTTTTTTTTAAATTTATTTTTATTAAAAATTGTTTTTCTTTTTATTGTAAAATATATGTAGCGTAAAATTGACCATTGTAACCACTGCTAAGGGTACAATTCTGTAGCATTAGGCACATTCACAATATTTTATCTGTTTTCATCATCTGAAACAGAAACTGTACCCATTAAGCAATAACTTTCCTATTCCCTCCTGTGCTCTGGTCTTTAACACCCTCATTTTGTTCCTACTCATTCCTCCTTTCCTGTTTATGCTGAGCAGTTTAGGCCTCCTATTCCACCGAACTTGGTACCAGACCTACATTTTGATAGCTTCGCTGTGCCCATGTTAAAAAGAGGAAGAGAAAAAGACTGTTCTGGGGCTCCATCTTCATCAGCTCAACGCACATTTTCAATTCTGTTTTGAAATCACAAACTCTTACGGGACAAGATTAAATTCTCAGGCAAGACTTCCTTCCCCACTAATGTTTATCAGCTGGATCATAAAAAGATATTTCCTTCCAGAGATGAATCATACATTCCCCTTAAGAGGCTGGTATAGCTATACTAATTTTGTTTGTTTGTTTTTTATTTATTGATTTTAGAGAGAAAGGGGGAGAGAGACAGAAACATCGATTTGTTGTTCCACTTATTTATGCATTTATTGGTTGCTTCTTGTATGTGCCCTGAGCTCAGATCTAACCTGCAGCCTTGGCTTATTGGGACGATGCTCAAACCAGCCAGGGCTTGTACTAATTTTTTAACAGCTTTCTCTACCTACCCCATTCTCCATTGCATATGTGTGTGTGTTATTTAATGTTTCTTTTCCCATCAGGTTATATAATCCCCAGGAGGGTGTATATTGTGTCTCTTTTGTATTAACACCTGGCATAGCACCTGACACATAGGGGGCACCCAGTATGAATTGAGTAAGTGACTGAATGAATGCATGAATGTTAGGTGGTTTATAGGAGACCACTGGGGCCAGGGACTCTGTAACGTCACCATGTAGCGACTTTTTCTTTCTCCTAGGAAGCAAACAGAAACAATACACTGTATCTGTTATCTCTCAAGGATGGTAGCCAAGGACATCCCTTTCCCAAATGATAAACTCCTGGTGACAGCAATGGAAACAATCATGTAGCACTTGCTCGTTCCCTGCTACAAGGTCCCCTGTCTTAATAAGTTATGCTGGCTTACCTTCTACACCGCTACCATGGAGTAGGAATGATCTCTCCCCTCCATGTTCTGAAAGAGGGCAGAGTTAACATTGGGTATTGCTACAGGCCTATGATTTCTGCCCTTAGAAAAGATGAGTAAAGTGATCAGAACTCTGAAACAGTCTCCTAAGTTTACAAACCCAAGCA